CCCTCTTTACACCTCCTTTAGCCCCGCCCCGTGACGGGGTCTTCCTCTCCCTCATCCCCTCTAGCCCCGCCCTGTGGGGGTGTGCCCATCCCCCCTCTTTACACCTCCACTAGTCCCCTACCCTCCTTTGCCCCTCCCCCCTCTTTACACCTCCTCTAGCCCCGCCCTGTGGGGGTGTGCCCATCCCCCTCACACCTAGCCCCTCCCTGTGGGGGGGGTGTTCGCACCCCCTCTTGTCCCACCCAAATCACGCCCTGTGGGGGTGTGCCCATCCCCCTCACACCTAGCCCCTCCCTGTGGGGGGGGTGTTCGCACCCCCTCTTGTCCCACCCAAATCAAATTCCAGTGCCCCCTGGCACGGGGGACTCTTCCCTCTTCTTTTTACATGGATTACATCTTCATGTGCCCCCCCCCCCCAACACTGACTTCAGTGGGTCTTTTCCCCCACTGAGGTATGGGTGTCACTTCCTGGCTCAGTACTGTGTCATTATTTCAGGGGTCGAATATTGCTGGATAATGAATCTTCTTCTCCCCCTTGTTCCTTTAGCTGGCCAGTCCAGAAAGGGAGGTGGAACGGGATGTCTTCTTATACCGAGCCTACATTGCCCAGGTGAGCTCATGGGCCCTGTGTGGAGAACAGCCCGGTGTGAGAACAGAGCTGAGATTAGGGATTTCTGAGTTCAAATCTAGCACCTCCATCTCTTGAGGTCTGACATTGATTTCTCCTACCACCTTGGGGCCCATCCCCTCCACCCTGATTAGCACTGTGATGAGCACAGTATAAACTTGCTAGACCTTTTTGGCCTGAATTTCCCCATCTTTGCAACTGGAGAAATCCAGGAGTGAAAGTAACTTCAGTTTCTTACTGTTGCGGTTATATTGCAACCCCATTTCTCTCCACTCCCACACACTTAACTTGATGGATCCTTTTGCATGCTTTTGATATAGAGAACTTGTTTACACTGCCACTTACAGCGCTGAAACTTTCCTTGCTCAGAGGTGTGAAAAAACACACTCACACACCCCCAGATGATGCAAGTGTAAGTTCTGTAAAGTGGCCATGTAAACAGTGCTCTGGTGCTGGTAGCTATTCCCTTCGTGGAGGTGGTTTTATCACAGCACTGGTAGAACCCTCTCCCGGTGCAGGGGCTGTAACTACACAGCCACATTACAGCGCTGCACAGCAGTACTTTAACGTCCGCCGTGTAGACATGCCCTTAAAACTACTACCGATGCTCTAAAATAAAATGTTTTATAATTCTCTGATTGCCCTTACAGCTGATCTTGCTCTTCTCGTTGTGCCCCCATGATGTGAGAGGAATGTGCTGCACGTTGGCCCTTTAGGGTTTATTGAATGTCTTATTTTCTTAGGCGGCATTTTTTCCCCACTTACTCTAAGTTATGTGCCTGCCGTGACAGACTTGACCAATAAGAAGCAAACGGAACTCAAAAGCTAATGTTCAGAACCACGAGAGTGCCTTTCACCTGCCAAGGAAAGGCCGAAGGGGAGCAATTTTGTTTTGAGAGAATGTAAAATCTATGAATTCAAGTGATATATCTGATTTTTTTTTATTGCTACAGTTTAACCTGTACTAAATGCTTCAGCCGCTTTCATACCAGTATGCCCTACCAGCTTATTTTTACCTCTGAGGTAACTCTTCTCTTCATGGTTAATCTGCCCGTTCAGGTTGGTTGGCCTTGAGGGAGGAGCGTGAATAGTTTTTGTTGACCTTTTTATTGGCTGGTTTCAGGCATTTGATGTATTTCTGAAAATTTTCAGTTTGGGGCTGAAACCCCTCTGCCCTGCCCCTATAGTCCATGCTTAGTAAAAACCCCTGAGTAATTTTGGAATGTGTGGTCATGAACATATTTCTCTCTTCTCAAGGCTTTGTAGTTCAAATAATTTTTAAAAGGCTGGATTTTAAACATTCCACGGACTTCTCCTATTGGGCTTCCTGGGTTAGAAATTGAATGATCTGTTCTGAAGCTCTTACCAGCTCACTCAATAGTTCATGTGAATCACAGTATGAAAATGATTACTCAATTTACATAAAAACAACGAGGAGTCCTGTAGCACCGTAAAGACTAACAGATTTATTTGGGCATAATCTTTTGTACCCATGAAAGATTATGCCCAAATAAATCTGTTAGTTTTCGGGTGCCACATGGCTCCCTGTTATTTTTGCAGATAACAGACAAATACAGATATTCCTCTGAGGATACGTCTAGATTACAGGCTTTTGTTGACAGAAGTTTTGTCAACAGATACTGTCGACAAAGCGGCTTGCTTTGTCGACAGAACTGGATGTAGTCTAGACACGCTTTGTTGACATGACAGGGTAGACGCAAAGGACAGTGTAGATGCAGTAACGCCTTCTGTCAACAGAACTCTGTCGACAAAAAGCGTTATTCCTCATAGAATGAGGTTTACCGCCGTCGACAAAACTGCTGAGTTCTGTCGACGTTATGTTGACAGAACTCAGCGGCAGTGTAGACGCAGGTATAGTTTTGTCAACAAAAGTCCACTTTTGTCGACAAAACCCTGTAGTCTAGACACACCCTGAGAATTTAAGTAAATTGCAAATAAAATATAGCATACATTGTGAAAAGTGGCTTTTAAAAGTTTTGTTTAACACTCTCACATTGTGTTAGTACCACAAACAGTGGGGATTCATTAATAATGATCTTGCATTGATTGGGGGTGTCTGTCTCATTTCCCCAGAAGCTCAGAGAAGACTGACCAGATGGATAGAATGAGCAAAGATGAATGTTCCTTTCTACTTTTTGAATTATGCCATAATGAACTATTTTTTCCTTCTGCTCTTAAATTATTACCCAATGTCTCTTTGCCTCCAATAGAAAAAATACGGTGTTGTTCTGGATGAAATCAAAGCCAGTGCTTGCCCTGAGCTCCAAGCAGTTAGAATGTTTGCGGAATATCTTTCAAACGACGCTCAGAGGTAGGTGGGATTTACAAACACTGCCCAGCCATGACTTTGCTTCAGTAGTGGGAACATCATCTTAGTCACAGTTGCCTGATCCTGCAGCGAACTTCAGTTGGGTGTAGTCCTGTGCCTGCATGGGGTTTTGTTGAAAACATGCAGGAGGGAGACTCATGTTTGTGTTTTTTATCAGAGCTTTATCTCTTGCTTCAGATTTAGCAGGTCATAAAACTGATGCATGCGGGATGGGAATGGTTGGAGAGTGTTGGTGTTTTTAACCAGTTATTCTCTGGCTTATTACAAATGGGTCTGTCTATGTTTAACATTCCAAAGCCATGCATCAGTGGCTGTGCTTCCTATACTAACTCACAATAAATCGCTTCTGGCCTTCAGATAATAGATGGGTGTTGAGGGCAGGTTTTAGCACTGCAGCACGATAGTTCATGATTTTAAAATTACGTTGTCTGCAGGGTCAGGTTAGCTGACTTTGGGGCAGGCGCATGAACAGTATTTGTCGACATTTTTAGCTGGCTTCAAGCATTTAATGTATTTCTGAAAAATTACTGTTTGGGGCTGAAACCCTTCTGCCCTGCTGTATTGTTGGTCGTGCTAAGACTCCCACTCCCCCAAGGTAATTTTGATGTGTGTGGCCATGAAAATATTTCTCTTTCCCCAAAGCTTTGTAGTTCAAATAATTTTTAAAAGGCCGAATTTTAAAAATGTCAGGAACTTCCTTTACTGGTGGGCGACAGCTTTTTCCTGGGTTAGAAATTGGTCTGTTCCGAAGCTCTCACCAGCTCGCTCTTCCCAGGGATGCAATAGTTGCCGATTTGGACAAGAAGATGGGGATGATGCGGCCCTGCGCACACTACACCAAGGGGAAAGCTTGGAATGGTAAGTGCGGCTCAGACAGCAAGGTGATGTGTTAACAAAGCCAAGCTCTGGGAGCCAGGGAATGGTAGCCATAGAAACAGGCAAAGTCTGACTTGTTTCCCTAAAACTTTAAAATGGGCAGGAGATTGATTTGGGCGTGTTAATAACAAGTAATCAGGCGTCCATCCAAGAATAAGATGCATGTTCACCCAGCATGAGGCAAAGGGTTTTCAGGGTACCCCATCTCGTGCATGTTTTCAGGTAGCGAGACGAGCAGTATAATTACGGGTACGTTTTAGTCATGGACATTTTTAGCGAAAGTCATGGGCAGGTCACAGGCAATAAACAAAAATTCACAGCCCGTGTCCTGTCTGTTACTTATACCTGGGGGGCTGCCACTGGAGGGAGGGGACCTGGGGCTAGTGACGTCCGTGGACCATGGATGTTCCAGCCAGCTGGGGACCATTGCTTGGGGCTGCGGACCATGGGGCCATCACTGGCTGAGACCACAGCCGCTCCAGCTGCCTGGGACTACTGCCAGGGGCCACTGGGGAGCAGCAGCTTATATGGCTGTCCCAGAGGTCATCTGAGCAGCTGGCCCCAGAGCCAACTGCTTGCACCTCCCTGAGATCAGCCACACTGACCCCCTGCAGCAGTCATGGAAAGGCACAGAATCCGTGACCTGGTCCAGAACCCTAATTATAATGTTTACAGCACTAGAGCAGTCACAGACCGGGAGCAGGCCGGTCCTGTCTGTACCCGAATCACACTGCCTGCTTGAGCGCCGCCTCATTGCAAAGAGAGCAGGGTGGCAAAACACCTGTTCTTGCTCGCTAGCAACGGGTTGGTGCGCTAGGCCGTACGCTTCCAAAGGGGCAGGCGCTATCCAGGCTGCGTACCCAGACAAGGCCTCGCTTCCTTCTCTGGTCCTCTGAGTTCCTCTTGACCCCCACTAACCGAATGGAACTCGACTCACATTGTCATAGTGGAGATTTAGGCACAAGAGCAATGAGCAAATTCTGGGTGTGGGCCCTTTGCCGATGTATTCCTTATCGCCTGGGGAGGAGAGAGATTGGGCGCCACGGGGTAGGCGAGTTGAGTTTTGACCAAATAATGGTGCATTTTTCCAAATTCAATATTTTATTAAGTAAAAGAGGTTGATCTTGGAATCTTGACTCCACAAATTCAAACAGACACGTGGTACAAATATGCTGTAACGCAGGGCTACTCCGCTTTGGAAGCCCCGGGGGCCATAGTGATACTCACAGCACATGCCGAGAGCCGCAGCGTAAGTGCGGTTGCATACACATGCAAATATATGCAAATAGCTTCTTTCACACAATACCCCAGCGCTCCCGGCACCTCCTTCCTGGGTGTAGAAATGCCGACTCTCTGTACCCATCTGTTCCACCCAGCCCGTCCACTTGTGTCATTCTGTGCACACCCTGCCTGGGAAACACATTACCGTTGTGGAGCGTGTTCCCAGTGGGGGCCATGTTCATAGGATCCCAGCCACGGGCCGCATGTTGAGCCCCGTAAACCCAAACCGCCCTGCGGGCCGCAAACAAATGGGCCGCTGTTAAGTAGCCCTGCTTTTAGGAACAGACAGCAGATAAGAAGCAGCCAAGCACTGACCCCGAGGGGGGAGAAGAGGGGAGTAACTGTTCTGTGATGCAGGCCGTTGGCCCATAGGGGGCTGTACTATCAGGGACAGGGCAGGTGCCTACGCTCAGTCCCTGCTAGGAGAGGGCGCAGTAAAGCCTGGAGCACAGCCCTGATGTGAGCTTGTTCCCTGCAGTGTGGCGATGATGATACAGATACTGCTGAAGCTCGACAGGCTCGATCTAGCCCGGTAAGCTTGTGTCTTCAGGGAGCCCCGCATGAAATCACCTTGCTGCGTGCAGATGTACCTGCTCAGCCTGTCCATGGGGGGGGTCGCCCCACCCAGCCCCCCCGGGAAGGGATTACTCAGCCCTGGTCGGATTCCCACAGGTGGGGTGGGCCAGAGCGGGGGTGAACACAGCGGCAGACCCTTTCCTCTCGGGGTGCTGGGGCTCTGCAAGGAAAAGGGTAGCTCTGAGTGCGGCTGAAGAAGCAGCAGAGTTCTAGGATTCAGTGATGACCTTGGTGCTGTGTTAATTGATCCTCCAGGGCCTGGGTCGGCGACTGTCCCAAAGGGAAATCAAGCCGCCATCTGCGGACCCCCGACCCTTTACCTGTGGGGGTGCGATTGTTTCTTTGCTTAAATAAAATACTCCAGGGGGATTGGTGCCCGACTGCACAGGTCAGTGAGGGGAGCGCCCCAGGGCACCACAGCCTTAGCTCACTGAGCTACTAGGGCAACGAAATGAAGGCAGGGAGGGGCTGTTTCTCCTACCTCTGGCCTTACGCTGGGGACCTAGTGAAAGGGAGTTTGTCGACTTCTCATCGTCTCGTTTCCTTTTGTGTTTACTCAGCAAAGAACTGAAGAAGATGCAGGAGCAAGATGAGGACGCGACCCTCACCCAGCTGGCTACTGCCTGGGTGAACCTGGCTGTTGTGAGTATTGTAGGCCGAGATGCGTTCTTAACCCATGGGCACTGCTCTGTTCTCACATGCTTCGCTTGGGTAATACAGAAGTTGCCTTGTCAGACTAGAGATGTTAGTTTAATCAACTAATCGACGGAATTTCAATCAATTACAGGTGGTCCCCGAGTTACGAACGCATCAATTTACGACCGTTCGTACTTACGACCAACCTCCCGTTAAATCATAGAACTGTAGAATCATAGAACCATAGAGCTGGAAGACACCTCAGAAGGTCATCAAGTCCAGCCCCCTGCGCTAGGCAGGACCAATCCCAACCAAATCAACCCAGCCAGGACTTTGTCAAGCCGAGACTTAAACACCTCTAGGGATGGAGACTCCACTACTTCCCTAGGGAACCCATTCCAGTGCTTCACCACCCTCCTAGGGAAATAGTTTTTCCTAATATCCAACCTGGACCTCTCCCACCACAATTTGAGACCATTGCTCCTTGTTCTGCCATCTGTCACCACTGATAACAGCCTCTCTCCATCCTCTTTGGAACCTAAGCGCATTACAGCCGGCCCCCGAGTGACAAACGCGCAATCCGAGCTTACGAACAGCACGGTCACATTTAAATGAACGGGGCCTGACATACAAACAGATCGAGTTACGACCAAGTGTTCGGTACGTAACTCGTTCGTAAGTCGGGGACTGTCTGTAGTCGATAAGCGGGGGAGCCATGGCGGGAACCCCGCTGCGGCTCTGCTTTTTAAATGTATTAAGAGCCAGCCGGCTCTTAATACATTTAAAAGGCTGGGGCGCAGTGGGGGGGGACCCAGCCTGAGTCAGGAATCGGCTGTCCCAGCTTATGCTGGCTGCCCCCCCTTCCTTGCTGCGCTTCTGCTTTTAGAATGTATTAAGAGCTGGTAGGCTCTTAATACATGTAAAAAACAGAGGTGAAGCATGTGGGGCTGGGCACGAACCGGGAATCAGCTGATTCCCGGCTCGCGCCTGGTTCCACTACTCCCCTACATCCTCTGCCCCTCATGGAGACAGTGCTAGAGGGAACTAGGTTTTAAGCCAGCTCCCCCCCAGCACCGGCTCCTGCTCCCCCCACCTTGCTTCCTCTAATAGACAACAAGGGAGGGGAGAGACTAGTTACTTACATCCCTAAGTCAGACACAAACAGGGCTAGGTGTCGGTCTTATTGGAGCGCACCAAAGTGTATGGTGTGAGGTTGCGGAACAGAATGGGTTTGTGTTTGAAGGTGAGTTGAATGCATTCTCCACCCCCAGAGCAGTGTAGCATTAAGATCAGCTCCTGTCCAGTAACCTTCGAACGCGGCAGTTCTCAGCGACTCGTACCTTAGACCAGTGTTTCTCAACCAGTGATGCGAGTACCCTCGGGTACGCGAGAGAAGGGGGGGGGGGGACATTCACGCAACTGAAATTTGGAGAAAACTGAATTTTTGTTTCAAGTTTTACAGCGCTTTATTATTTTTGTACTTTTTACACCCAAAAATGTCATCCCTGTCCAGATACGAGTAAGTTGTTTAAACAAATGTGTTGCAAGGGTAGAAAGATTTTGTGTGTCTGGAAACTGTAAGTCCTGGGAGTACTTACTTTTTCTTTTTTTTTTTTTTTTTTAAAGGGGTATTTGATAAAAAAGCCTGAGAAACACTGCTCTAGATTCCCCTGCGTGGGCCCTGGTTTACACACATGCCTCTCTCCAGGCACAGGAGTTAGGTACATTCTTAAGTTCCTTGCTGCATTAGGACCTTATCAGTGAGCCTCTTTGTATCCTTGCTGCCTACCAGCTGCGCCCGTTGGAGAGGCTTCCCCGCTGCTTGGGCTGTTCCAACGTGTCCAGCCTCCCGTGAAGTTTGGGGGATAGCAAACAGGCCCATAGCTGTGTGGGAGAGAGTGGGCAGGATACTTAAACTAGAGCAGTTGCCTAGAGAAGCTAAAATCCCATCCCGTTTCTGCTCCATCTCCCTTTGCCTCGCTCTCAGAAGTGCAACAAGCCCTCGCAGAAGTACTTGATCAACGTCTTCCTTTCCCATGGGAGTGTGCTTTCCCTGGAGGGGCATAGGGAATAGCCAGTCTCATTGGTTGCTTTCAGTGCAAGGCTTTTTCACGGGTTCCACTTGATCGTTAACTCAGACACAGAAGAGCTCCTGTTTCTCGATAGTCAAATCATTCACAAACGATAATACCGTAAAACGGGAAACGGCCGTCTGGTATTTCAGTGCGAGTCCTCGTTAGACGCTAGGTGAAAGTATAATCATGTGGCTGTCGGTGGGAGTGTATTTGTGCTTACCTCGGAGCCTATAAATAAAGCATCGCTCCAGCTAAACCCGCTTTCAGTGAAACCGGCTCAGAGGGATCTACGGCAGCTGGTATTTATCAGACACCCTTCAGGTCTGACTCGGATTTGTTTATGTTATGCTATGGCAACTGCATTTCACACGTTTGATCTCGCCTCTCCCCCGTCCCATCCATTCCGAGAAAGCAGCGTGGCGCCTCCCGAGGCTGTGGGAAGCCGTTGGGGTTTCTGTGGAGCAGAAACCCCGGCCTCTGCTAGCTGTTCGTTCCCCCAGCACTTGGAACTGTTTCTACTGCAGATGAATTACTCGGCCTTTGCTTGGCGTCTGCGGAACATGTCAGGGTTGCTGTTCTCTGCAAGGGCGCTGAGAAATGGGGATCATGCCAGGGCAAGCATTCTTGCTGCCAATGTATCCCTTCCCCCCCCCCTCCCACATTAGGAGGTCTGGTTTTAGTGGGCAGGAGGGCTGTTCAGTTTCTAAGCTGTCTGCCGAGGCTACCAACAGAGGCCCCAGTTGTGTGTGTGTGTGGTTTTTTTTTTAAGTGTATTATATAGACATGTTGGTCACGAGGAACTGGGCCAAACGTGCACGTTCTTTGCATCTTGGGCTGTTAACAGCTGCTCACTCCAGTGGCTCCTGGGTCCCCTTTTAAGGTCTCTGTCCTTAACATCAAAACTGTCAGTGGTTTGAACTAAGGATGTTAGTTGACTGGTTGCTCCCCCCTCCCCTTTGCTGCCTCTATCAGAGGCGGCAAAGGGGGGGAAGAGGAGGTACTTCAAAGCGGCAGCACGGCATGGAGCTGACCCCAGGCTCCGTGCGCAGGTGCCCCTTTGAAACACCGTGGAGGAGTCCCGAGCTGACCCCGGCTCTGCGTGTCATTTCAAAGTGCCAGCACCACATGGAGCCCGGAGTCAGTGGGGGACTCTTGTACATTTCAAAGCTGGCATGTCACGTGCAGTCCGGGGCCAACAGGAAGTCCCGCTGACTCTGGGCTCCACATGGGCGCTTCCGCTTTGAAATGCACAAGAGCCCTTGGGCATTTCAAAGTGTGTGGAGCCTGGAGTCAGCGGGACTTCCTGCTGGCTCAGACTGCATGTGGAGTTCCAACTTTGAAATGCACAAGAGCCCCGGGGGCTCTGGTACATTTCAAAGGAGGAATACGGAAGTGCCTATCGACTAGTCGATGAGAATTCCATTGACTACTTGACTAGTAAATTAACCAATATTTAACATCCTTAGTTTGAACCCCTCTTTCCAGGAGCTCAGCAACTGAGCTTCTCAGGACCAGTGGAGCTGCCTCCCTCTGGAGCAAAGCCATCTCCCTCAGGAAACCAGATTTCACATGGACAGGCCATGAATTTGGCAACTTTCCAGTCCATTTCTGAAACTTGCCCTTTTGACCTGGCTTGTCCCTCAAAGCAGCTTCTGGTCTGTTGGGAGGAGGGGACATTAGCCCCCCACCTCCGAGGAGATGAGATGAAAAAGGGCCCTGGGTAAGTTGATGCAGGATGTTTTTCTTCTAGTGGATGATGGAGTAAGCACCTAAATAGAATAGAGCCAGATGGACCGCTGCTGATCTGCCCTGGGTTCAGAGTATTGACTTAGAGACAAAAGGCTCCATATCCTGTTAATAATCCCACAATCCGTCCGTTCCCTCACGGAGCTGCTCAGACATGTGATGATCCTCTTACTGTAGGTTTAAATGGCCATGACCCCAGGTGGTCACCCTTCGATCCAGAGCTGTCGAAAGCACCTGGCACACTGTGCAGCATCAGCTTATGGAAAAATAAATAACATTGTCTCTAGCCTCAGCTTCATAGCATGGCACTTGACTGGAAGAATAACACACAAGGTGGGTTGATGTAAATCAAGGTGATTTAAATCCCCCAAAATAGTTCCACATTTGCAATTGCAGCAATCTGCAGAGCTGACAGCTGTCCTTACACTCTTTTTTAATGGGAAATGCAGTAATGTTGGTTTTTTTTTAAAACTTTTTAAAACTTTTCAAATTTTTTTATCCACCCTGCATAACATGTGAGAAATCAATTTTTTTATTTTTTTTTAAATAAAAATATTTTTTAAAACAATCAATTAAAATTTTTCATTTTTTTCTTCAATTTAGATCATTTTTTTAATCAATTTTTTTATCCAGCCTGGTAACCCATGAGAGCTCAGCAGGCTGGTGTGATCTAGGGACTGTTGAGAGAGAACTAAACATCAGGAAAAAAACCAAGGGACCGTAATCAGGTAAAACTCCCATTGACTTTAACAGGGCCTTGGAATTCACAGGATGTTTTTTGTGTGCCTTAATGACTGTTAACTGTTAGTCTCCTGTCAATCACAAGGCACAAGTCTTCTAAAAGTATCCAATGCACAGCAGGCTTGGTACGGGCAGGTGTGAAAGAAAGAGGTGTTGAGAGCCGAGTCATTTTATCACCAACATTGCTCAAAGTTTATAGTCCTGAGAAACAAAAAATATTAGGCCAGCCTTGATTTGTTGTCTCACTGCCGGTTCAGGGAGGTGACATCTACTCACTCATGGTAAGAATCTCGCTCTCCTGCTTTAGGAGATACCAAGATCGGACATGCAAAATCCTACCACTTTCACTCACTCATGGTAAGAATCTTGCTCTCCTGCCTTAGGAGATACCAGGATCGGACATGCAAAATCCTACCACTTTGTAATTCCGGATGTCATGTTAATAAGGCAAAAGTGAGTTTGCTTGGATGAGAGAAGCAGATGCAGCTCAGTTGAAGTAGCTTCGTTCAGAGGGATCTACGCTCTCAGGGAAGAGGAAGTCATACCTCTTTCAGGCTTGGCCTGATGTCGGTATCCGCTGATGTCCCTTTTCATTGGCTCAGCAATTTCCTGGGAAGGCCGATGCATCTTTAGCTTATATACTGCAGTTTGCTAAAGCACGTGTAGCGAAGCTAGAATTCATAAGTTTGAAGGTTACTTTACATTGTCTGGGTGGCACAGGGAGTTCTCTAAACTAGAGATGTTAAATATCGGTTAATTGAATAGTCAAGTAACCTCATGAATTCTTATCAGTTAGACTCTTCTATCATTCTGACAGTGCCAGGTAGAAGCTAATCTGCAAGGGGAACCAGTTTAAAAACCAGCTCCTCTTGCGGACCAGTTTCTTGTTGCCTTGTGCTGCTCTATCAGAGGCAGCAGTGCGGGGTGACAGCAGCCCCTGTTTTGGGGGGGAGTGCGGGGTCTGAGCTCCTGAACCTGACACGAACCGGAACTGAGCCGGGCTGCCTGCCCACCCAGCTCCTAATACACTTTCAATGCAGAGTTACAACAGGCGTAGAGCCCTCACTCGGTGTGAGCCAGAACCTAGCTGTGCTGGTGGCCAGCCTGCTAAAAAATTTACTGGTTGGGGAGGAGGGAAATGCGTATGGAAGCTACTGCTCTAACGAACTAGCCACACTCAGCCAGCCTAGTAGCCACATGGTGCTAGACCATATTGACCCTTCCGTAGTCTGGCAAACTTTCTGGCTCAGCACCAGTCAGGTGCCGAACTAGAGAGGTTCACTCTGTAATGTGAATGCTGCTTTCTTGAAGAACAAGCTTCCTAGTCTTGCCAGCTGTTCTGACCCATCACCTGTAGGCTATTGATCAAGGGGAAGCGATGACTCAGTTGACCTGTATTTAAACCGGGGGCACCTCATTACTTCGCAGTGTCTATACTTTTGCCCGCAGCAGCACTATGGCCTCCTTGGAGTAATGCAGCAAACTGCCGGGTTAACAGTCCCATTTCTTCACAGGGTGGGGAAAAATTACAGGATGCCTATTACATCTTCCAAGAGATGGCAGACAAATGCTCATCCACCCTGCTTCTGCTTAACGGACAGGCAGCCTGCTACATGGCACAGGGCAAGTGGGAAGATGCAGATGGGGTGCTCCAAGAAGCGCTGGACAAGGTGAGTTTTCTGTCGCACGGGAACCTTGAATTTGAGCCGTGTAACCTTGGATTCCAATCTGCTGCTCTGGAAAGAGGCAAGAGAAAAGTAGCTAGAAGGTTCATGCATACAGGCAGTCCCCGGGTTATGTACAAGATAGGGACTGTAGGTTTGTACTTAAGTCGAAACTGGCATCCAGATTCAGCTGCTGTTGGAACTGATCAGCAGCTGATTCCAGGAAGCCCGGGGCAGAGAAACTCTGCCTCGGGCTTCCTGTAGTCAGCCGCTGGTCAGTTTCAGCAGCGGCTGACTTGGGGATGCCTCGGGCAGAGCAGCTGGGGGGCTGCCAGTTGGTCCCGCAGCGCCGCTCCTTGGCGCTACTGGACCAACCCGGCAGCACCCCAGGTGTCCCCAAGTCAGCTGCTCCTGAAGCTGATCAGCGGCTGATTCCAGGAAGCCCGGGGCAGAGAAACTCTGCCTCGGGCTTCCTGTAGTCAGCCGCTGGTCAGTTTCAGCAGCGGCTGACTTGGGGATGCCTCGGGCAGAGCAGCTGGGGGGCTGCCAGTTGGTCCCGCAGCGCCGCTCCTTGGCGCTACTGGACCAACCCGGCAGCACCCCAGGTGTCCCCAAGTCAGCTGCTCCTGAAGCTGATCAGCGGCTGATTCCAGGAAGCCCGGGGCAGAGAAACTCTGCCTCGGGCTTCCTGTAGTCAGCCGCTGGTCAGTTTCAGCAGCGGCTGACTTGGGGATGCCTCGGGCAGAGCAGCTGGGGGGCTGCCAGTTGGTCCCGCAGCGCCGCTCCTTGGCGCTACTGGACCAACCCGGCAGCACCCCAGGTGTCCCCAAGTCAGCTGCTCCTGAAGCTGATCAGCGGCTGATTCCAGGAAGCCCGGGGCAGAGAAACTCTGCCTCGGGCTTCCTGTAGTCAGCCGCTGGTCAGTTTCAGCAGCGGCTGACTTGGGGATGCCTCGGGCAGAGCAGCTGGGGGGCTGCCAGTTGGTCCCGCAGCGCCGCTCCTTGGCGCTACTGGACCAACCCGGCAGTACCCCAGCTGCTCTGCCCCAGGAGTCCCGAGAAAAGCCTGGTCTGCTGGGGGGAGGGCGGGGGTGGCGCAGCTAGTTTACCCCCCCCCCCCCGCATCCTCCGGGGCGAGAAATGCCCGGTTCGTAAGTGCGGATCTTACATAAGTCGGATCCGCGTAACTCGGGGACTGCCTGTACTTATCTAATAGTTCGTTAACCTCATTTTCTGTCATTGTGCCCAGGGCTGGCTGTGTCTCAGCAGCCTCGGAGAATCAGCCTTGGAGGATCTGTTTTTTAATTTGATAGTTTAAATCTTGTTTTCTGTGTAAACCCTGCATCATTCCTGACCTCTAACACACCCCTGTAAACTCTGGAACCTATAGGGCCATTAGCGGCTCTGTTGTTCCACTGGGTTCTTAGCTGATTTCTAGTTCAGAAACACGCCCACCCCCCAGTTCCCTGAGTAGGTTGAGTCTAAACCCCTGTTTTAAAATGTTCAGCCCTTGTCAGTAACTCTCCAATCTCACTGACTTGATCTTGTGTGAATCCCATTTCGTAAGAGTCTATCCTCTCACAAGGATGTGCATTTCAGAGCAATCCTTGCACTTCGGCAGCTGGGCTTCTGGCCTTTAATTACCTGTCCTAGAATCTCATTAGCTGTGTTGTGTTCACCCAAGAATGCACCTCTGAGAGACTAACTTGTCCACCACCTTGCCCTGTCCTGTCCCAGCACTTTGTGGGTTCTCGAGATCATCCGAACGGCCACACTGGGTCAGACCAAAGGTCCATCCAGCCTAGTGTCCTGTCTGCCCACAGTGGCCAGTGCCAGGTGCCCCAGAAGAGTGAACAGAACGGGGAATCATCAAGAGATCCCTCCTCTGTTGCCCATTCCCAGCCTCTGACGAGCAGTGGCTAGGGACACGATCCCAACCTCCATGAATGTATCTAGTTCTTTTTTGAACCCTTAGCTAGTTCTTCACGCCATCCTCTGGCGAGGAGTTCCACAGGTTGTCTGTACGCTGCGTGAAGAACAACTTCCTTTTGTTTTAAACCTGCTACCTATTAATTTCATTTGGTGACCCTTCACTCTTGTGTGATGGGAAGATGGTTGCTGGAACATGCTGGGTGCTGCACTTGGTCAAAGTAGTAGGGAGGGACAGATGGTTTGATGCGTTTTCCCCTTATGCTTTCAGGACAGCAGCCATCCTGAGACCCTGATCAATTTTGTTGTCCTGTCACAGCACCTGGGCAAACCACCAGAGGTGAGGCTCACCTGGGTGCCCGGGACAGTGGGCAGTTATGCTGCTGCTGCTAGAGATGGGCAGATATGAGGCTTGCTTGGGGTTTAAGGTCTTATGTGCATCTCTGCTAATGGAAGTGAGGGGGAGCTGAATTTTGTAACCTACATTGCAACCTGTGCAAGAGAGAAGGAAGGTTGGGCTGGGGGAATGAGAGCCTGCATAGCAGCCTGGAATTCCAAGCTTCCAGTCCCGGCGTTGCCAGTGGCTCAGAATACGACCTCCTGGGACATCAGCTAAAGTCTCATTTTCAAAGCCACTGAGTCTCCCCAAGCACTGTTAGACCTGTGCATGGTCAGGACTGCTGAAAACCAAGTTCTGACCCTTCCTCAGCTGCAAAAGGGGATGGTATTTGCCCCCTTCCCTGGAGTCGGTGCCTGTAAAGCATCTGAAATCAACTCTCTTGAGTACTGGTTTAAGCGTTTAGTTTTTCCTCTCATCTCAGCGTTGGGGGTCTCATTTGTCTCTCTTCCCCCGCCCTCCTCCCCCCAGGTTACCAATCGCTACTTGTCACAACTGAAAGATGCACATAAAAGTCACCCGTTTATACAGGAGTACCAGGCAAAGGTAACCAATCTGTTTCTAAATCTGAATCCATTTGTATGGCGAGTCGTGCTATTGTTGGAATTGGGTGTAACCGGTTAACCGGCAGCCTGGTCAGACAGGTGCAGCCCCTTCGCCCATGCCACAGGTGGAGGGCCACTCCTGCCCGGCCGGGCCTGCTTGCCTCACACCCATAGGATCCCGGTTAAGCGGTTAACCAGTTAAACCTAACGGTGAACTGGGTTTTTACAGCCCTAGTTGGAATTAGGCTAGTGGATCATTTAGGCTGAGGGTTCCTATAATTCAGGGAAGCCTGATCATCCTCCGGTTTTTACGCTTTTACTCAGACATGCAAAGTACATTGCTGGTCTTCACGGTTGTAGAGAGAACTGGGACAACGCGAGCCAAGTCCAAACCCAAGGAGCGGTGTCTGGCTGAATGCCTGAAACCGCTCTGTGTGACGGGTTCCCAGTGAGCGGGGATCTCTGACCACCTCCCAGATTGCTGAAGTGGGGGGAGGTGTGTCCTGTTTGGAGAGGAGCGGCTTGCGCAGGGGTAACAGCATGGAAGGATCTCACAGACAGATGGCTGGGAACTGCTGATTTAGGGTATTGCAGGCTCAGAACACCTCTCTACTGCCCGCCTGAGATGCGATAGCCTTTTCTTCCTCCCACTAGCAAATACACTTGGGCTATGTCTGCACTCGCGGCTTCTTGCGCAAGAACCTGCAGAGCATCCACACTGCCCACCTGCTCTTGTGCAAGGAAATGTACAGTACGGCGTGGTAAGAGAGGGCTCCTTGCACAAGAGCTACGCTCTTTTTTAACAGGTATAAGCCCTCTTGTGCAGGAGCTCTTGCGCAAGAGGGCAGTGTGAACGCTTGGCAGGGATTTCTTGTGCAAGAAAGCCCTATGGCTAAAATGGCCATCAGAGCTTTCTTGCACAAGAGAGCATCCACGCTCCCATGGGCGCTCTTGTGCAAAAGCACAACTCGCACATGGCAGTGTGGACGTTTTCTTGTGCAAGACTTCTTGCACAAGAACACTTGCGCAAGACGTTGTTGCGCAAGAAGCCGCCAGTGTAGACACAGCCTTGGTGTTTAGCTACTGAAAGTACCTATTTTTTTTTCTTTCTTTGACAGGAGAATGATTTTGACCGGCTGGCTATGCAGTACGCCCCCAGTGCGTGAGGATTCAGGGAATTCAAAACAAGTCTGTGGTGCCCTGCTGTGGTACCTTGGGACCTGGGTGGGAGGGTGATGTGCAAAATCTCTCTGGCCTTGTGGACAGCGTTCACTCCGCAAGTCGGTCTGACGTCTGTCACAGGATGGCAGGGCCTTGCGCGCTCAGCAAACTGATGGCAAGCGTGTATGTCACACGTGGAGCCTAGAAACCTATGTCCTGATTTAACTAGATTCCAAACTCCTTGTTTAAAATACAGTGCACGTCAAGAGTATGCAACACTGTACCTTAAACATTTCCAATAAAGCCTTTTGTGGATCCGTGTGGCCCTTCTGCTTTGTATGCTGGAGTTAGCTGTAAGGAAAGCATTCCTACCGGAGAAAGTGGGAACATTCCCTCTTCCTTTCACTGCTGATCCTCTTTAACACCTGCTTTGGGGAGCGTGGGTGGATCTTGAGTTGCCGCCTTTCTTTCAAGAATTACCCGAGGCTTTCCACAGGCACAGTGCCTCTTCCCGTGGACTTCAGCACCATCGCCAGCTGCTGCATCTCTTTGAGACCCTTTGGAGGTACACCCAGCTTGTCCTGCCTGCAGGATGTCTTGGGATGCTAGAAGAAAAGGGAAGATTCCCCAGAATAAAGAGTCCCACCTAAAGTATTGTGACTACAGAGGGGCCAGCTTGGATCTCAGGTGGTAAATCATCGGGGCTACATCTAGACTGGCATGATTTTCTGGAAATGCTTTTAACAGAAAAGTTTTCTGTTAAAAGCATTTTTGGAAAAGAGCGTCTAGATTGGCACGGACGCTTTTCCACAATCTAGACGCGCGTTTGCACAAAAAAGCCCCAATCGCCATTTTCGTGATTGGTGCTTTTTTGCGCAAAACAAATCTGAGCTGTCTACACTGGCCCTTTTGCACAAAAGTTTTGCTCAAAAGGGACTTTTGCCTGAACGGGAGCAGCCTAGTATTTCCGCAAAAAGCACTGATTTCTTACAGTAGGTCAGTGCTTTTGCGGAAATTCAAGCAGCCAGTGTAGACAGCTGGCAAGTTTTTCCGGACAAGCGGCTGGTTTTTTGGAAAAGGCCAGTCTAGACACAGCCAGTGAGTTTTGGTCACAGGGATGGGGAAACACTGCATTTCACCGCAACAAAGTATGTATCCCAGCGTGTTAGCACCTTTTATGCCCCACTGACACACAAAGGCACCTTTGTCCACGTTTCGTCCAAAAGCTGCAGAGCCGATCCTCCTGACATACCATACAGCAGCCATGACGTGACACCGAAAGACTGTGTGTTGTGTGCTGGGTTAGGATGTCATCCACGAGGGCATCAAACGTGCAAGGAGCAGAGATCAGCATGAGGCCCTTCGCCAAGACAGCTGAGAATTTTCTCGTCTTTATGTCTGGAGTCTTCTGCTTGCTTCCTGTGTGAAGGCTACATTACGCTGCAAATGTTTCTGGCTGGCATCTTCTTTGTGTCCACCTCGGTTGTATTGCTCTGAAAGAACTCATTGTCCCTCTCTTGGGCCTGGTTAGCAGGCAGCAATTTTCAATGGAGGGTTATTCATGGTGCAGCCTTGAATGAATGTTCTCTTTGTGGAGGCGTCTGGGGGAGATGTGAAAGGGGCTTGTGTTTCCCGGGCAGCCGTTGCCCACTTGATGGGCCGTGATAAATAGACTTAAAAATTTAAACAATACAAGCAAGTGGCAGGGGAAAGCCGGTACTGTCCGTATGAAAAGAAGGGAATGTGCCTTCCTTTGGGCCCTGCTAGCAGCACAGGTTTGTTTTAGCACCGATGAGTTCCCTGGATTTTCTGTAATTGATCTGAGAGGCACTAGTGCAAAATCGGAGCCATTTCACAGCATGGCTGTGATCAAAGCAGTGACCTCAGATGGCATCATGCTGATCAATATTCCTTCTCCTTTTCTCCATCAAACCCACCCAGGTCTGCAAGGCAGCGGGTGAATTTTCCAGGTGCCATCCCGAGGGTTCCTTCTGCTTCTTCTTTTCACTGTGCTAATAAGGATCCTGCAACCAGAATTTAGTTGGAGTTGGGTCCGATGGATGAGGTGTAGCAGGGTGCCGTTTGCTCTCCTGTCACTGAAGTCTAAGAAGACTGTGCCTTTCTTGAGTCCCTTTTGCTTGAGAAGTTCCTGTTGTACATTAGAAAGCAGGGATGTTTAAAAGCAGGTGTGACGGCGCGTTGGGGGTCCCCCGTCTCCTGCCCCCCGAAATGGCACAAACAGACTGCACCAGCCGGTGGAATAGAGGAAGTTTATTGCCTCTCCAGGTTACAGCACAGCACAGATGTAGTCTGGTCACAGAGCTGGGCTAGGATGCCTCAGGCCCCCTTGAGATGGAGGAGACTGGGCCCCTAAATTCCAGCCCCTTTCCCTAGGCTGTCTCCTCCAGGCTCCCTGACAGCAACTAACTAACCCTCTTCCAGCCCTGTCCCCCCAGCCAGGGCAGCATCCACCTTCCTTTGTTCCTCTCCATGGGGGGTGTCTGGTCATACCACTTGAGATGTCCCTTTGCATAGTGACTCATCCTGTTTTGCTGGGTCATGGTACCCACGGCAGCCAGTGGGGGTTACCCCAGAGCCAGCAGCATAGAAACCAGCCAGGTACCCCCACTACGTCACAGCAGGTAATTGCGTAACTGCTGAAAAACTCCGTGGGTACCCGCAGCGGCAGCCAGCTCCCCGGGAGCCGGTGCACAGCCGGAAGCTGGGTTTTAAGCCAGCTCCCAGTGCATACTGGCTCCCACCTGGGAGCCCTGGTCCTGAGGCAGCAGCGTGGGGAAAGGAGCTTGCGTGTAACTGCAAACATTAACCGATGAGCCCAGGTTTCTCAGTTAACTATTTGCACAGTTCTACGTTCACATTAGAAACATGAAAAAAATTCAGAGCACTCCTAAGAATTCAGAGGTACCGTCGTTTGACACATGGCCCACGAAGATTGAGGCAGAGAGATAATGACCAGCCTATGGTCACAGGAGTCATGGGAAGAGCTGGGGCAAAAAGCCAATTCCTACCCATTCAGTGGTTTGTTTGGTTTTTTGTTTTTTTTTTTCCCAGCGCAAGCCCGGTCTTCTGCCTGGCCTGGCTAACAAGACCATGGCTTTGCTTGTGTCCGTCAAGTCAGCTGAATTGATGTCAGAGAACAGGGCTGCGGGCGAGAAGGGGTGGACACTTTGCAGACGAAGTGCTGACTCAACTCTTAGGTGCATCGGAGAGTTTGATCTCACTCTGTCCCGTGCCCTCTGAAATCAGCTGCATATGCAGAAACTGACACTCAAGCTGGGTAGCGTGTGCTGCAGTGTAACAAAACAGAACTGAGCCTTTAACACCCAGCTGCGGGCGGGGGACTGCTCCCAGGTACCAATTAAGGGTGATGCCTACCACGTAACTGGTTACCTGTTCACATCCCTATCACCCTTATATGGCTTTTAGTTTTAAACATGCACGTGCTGAGAGACTGCACTTACCAATTTTGTGTGTAAAGTACCACCTCGTCAGCTGGCCGGCGTGCTAAACTGATTTGTTTTCATGGCTTTGAAATGGTGTATTTAGCACAGGCTGCCTCCTGCTTTAAATGTACACTTGCATTTCTTCAAATGTAGTGCTGGCTATTCTGGACTCGGTTGGGACTCAGCTGTACCTGGTCCTAGACTCGTCAAGCGTGCTGTATTTCAGATGCTTTCCATGAGAGGTGCCGCAGCCTCCTTTCTCCGTACTGCGTTGCCTCCTTGGCTCTTGCCCCTGGCGATCCTGTACATTTACCTTCTGCTCAGAAGATCTTGCTGAGACCCTTTGTGGAAAGCAGAGCGCTCGGGGGAACCCTTCCTGTTTGGCGTATCGATTTGAAAAAGGATTAAATGGTTAATATTTTATCAAGGGCTCTGCACACAAAGTCCTGTGGAAGCATTTTCAGTCGTCTGTGTCCATTGAAAGCTAAGGGTAATTTCTAGCCTTCACTGCCACGTATAATTGGAATGGAACTGCTCTTGCTACTGCTTTATCATCCATCATCGTCTTTCGATACTCTGATACCGACCTTTTTTTCCACTTCTTGCCCTTCCTCGAGTCGTCCCCTCTGGTCTCAACTGGCCGAGGAAGCTGTAATTCCAGATTATAGTCACGGTTTGTGTGTCAATAGCGTACTTGCGTTCTGTTTGACCTTTTTAAAATTCCCCTGTTGTTTCAGTCAAAGGGGGGGGACTTCTTGATAACTTGGGGGTGGTTCTCAGAAGCTGCTGCCCTACGTCCCACAGCTGTGAGGGTTGGAGTGACCTCTCTTGAAACGGAGCATGTCAAGCAACGAGATTTGTGGGTGCAAGTTGGGGGCGGTATGTAACGGCCACTTGTTTATTCCTCCTCCGTTAGGGAACTGGGCTAAGTGTGTTCTGACGAAAAAACGCTGAAATCTGTGAATGTGAAACCACCATGGGCTGATCTGGCCTGAAAAATGAGGCCAGTCTAGCTAGGTCCCTTGGGGATGTGAAAAATCCACACCCCTGACGTAGCTAAACTGGAGACAGTGCTGGGCCTATGGAAAATTTGTTGCCATAGCTACTGCCTCTCAGGAGAAGTCGATTAAGCACAGCGCTGGGAGAACACCTCCTGTCCTGACAGCGTCTACACTGAAGTGCTGCTGTAGCAGCAGAATCATAGAATCCTAAAACTGGAAAGGACCTCGAGAGGTCATCAGGTCCAGTCCCCTCCCCTCATGGCAGGACCAAAGGTCCATCTAGCCCACTATCCCGTCTGCTGACAGTGGCCAATGCCAGATGCTCCACAGGAAGGGAACACAACCTTATGTGATCCCTCTCCTGTCACCCATTTCCAGACAAACAGAGGTTAGAGACACCATTCCTACCCATCCTGGCTAATCGCCATTGATGGACCAGACCTCCATGAATCTCTCTAGCTCTTTTTTGAGCCCTGTTAAAGTCCTGGCTTTCACCACATCCTCTGGCGAGGAGTTCCACAGATAGACCGTGCACCGAGTGAAGAAAAACGTCCTTTTGTTTGTTTTAAACTAAGGATGTTAAGGACTAGTTGCAAAAGCTTATCGGATAGTTGAGTTGACTAGTTGCGTCCCTCTCCCCTTGCAAAAAAGGGGAGCAAAGGGGGGAGAGGGGTACTTCAAAGGGGCAGCAATGCCCTTTGAAGCCCGCACGGGGTTCAGCTGGGGTGCCCCTTTGAAATGCTGCGTCGGCATTTCAAAGTGGCGCTGTGCAGCCCAGGGTCAGCTGGGGACTTCCCAGCTGATTCCAAGTTCTGTGGAAATGCCACAAGGAGCCCGGGATTAGCTGGGGAG